ATAGAAATTGCCAGTCTCATAAGCATTTTTTGCTAAAGCTTATTTTTCAAAAAAAAGCAGGCTAGTTCTCCTTCCCAAATACCAGATGCTTTTAAGATAAAACTGGGCTGTCCCGTTCATAATTTCTGAACTGAAAGGTGAATGCCAATAAAAAGAGAGGTTTGATCAGGAGTCTGGAAATGATTTATTTAGCTTGGATGTTGTGAAAGTGATTGGCTCCTGCTTTGGGAAGTGGCATTTCCCACAAGCTGCTGGGATAGCCCTGACTGCCTGGCAGGGCTCACCAGCCAGGGAAGGGACTCGGGAAAGAGCATGGCTCCTCACTTTGTCCTCTTTTTTCCATGGGGATGTGGAGGGGCCAGGTCTTGGCTCTGAGATGCATCAGCTCACTTGGGAGGGCAGCGTGGAGTTGCCACCTCCCAGTCTCTGTAGCAGAGCTGGAGCAAACCACTCAGAAAACTCACATACAGCAGAAGCACTGGGGGGAAGGGACTAACAGTGACTTTCCCTGTTTCTCCCCCCAGAACACCGTGCTAATGCAAGGCTTAATCTTTGTTTCCTCCTTTCTTACTCAAAAAACCAAAACCAACTAAAACAAAAAAAAAGCCCACCTCAGAGTGAGATCATAGCTCGATGCATTATGGTTTGGATGCAAACGTACATTTTCGGTGGGTTCCTTGGCTCATATGTCAGGCGCTATTGGAATTTTTAAAGTTATTTGGCGGTTGAATAGTATGGTTTCCAACTTCTTCAGCTTTTGAGGCAAATAGAAAAGAGCTAATAATACACTTCAGTTTGCTCTCCAGGCTTGGAAAGCTAGCAACCAACTTTCTGCAACTCTAATATTCCTTCTCTAGCCTGCCTCCTACTTTTTGCCATCAGAAATCTCTGTAGGTGTGGCTAAAGACGTGGGCAATGACTAGCCCGCTCCCTGGCAGAGAGAAAAATTGCTGCAGGTCAACAAGGCGGCCCACCTTATCGTGAATATTGCCTTTTTTCTGCTTTTTGCAGTGCTTTGCTTGACACTTCCCTAGGGAGGGTGCGTCTTGCCTCCTTACGCGTCTCCCAGACCAGCGAAGGACAGTGGAGCGGTGTCTAGCTGTGTGTTGGGTCACAGCCCGACTTCCACTTGCTCGTGCCGCAGATACCTGTGGCATGTGGCCACTGCAGTTGGCTGCAGGCTGGGCGCACGCCAGGGTCAAAGAAAGATGCAGACCCCGAGCAGCTGAGCTCCTGCCCACCCCTGGGGAGGGGTGTCAGGGCTGAACGTGAAACGCCCTTGTGGAAAAGGGTTTTTATTCTCGTTCTTATGGGATTCCTTTGCTGTGAGTTTTATCAATGGAGTTTATTAATGATGGTATATGGTAAAGCATATGAAAATGCTTTACAGACTTCGTAAAAGTTGTGGTACAAGAGTGATAAAATAGTAGACAAGGCACCCCCTGCCTTGTGAGGGTCAAGTCACCCCGGGAGCAGGAGAGGAGCCTCCTCAAACAGCCCGTGTTTTCCTGATGGCTCCAACAGCCGCAAAGCTCTCCATACTCCATGGCTTCCAAACTCGCCAGCTGAGCATGCACTACCGAGGGCTGTGCTGGGTGAAAAAGAGGGACATTGATGAGCAGCTTTTCTGTCTGTGAGTTTGCTTTGCTGCCTTTCTCTTTATGTGGCCTTCCTCACAGTGTCTGTGCTTCCTGGGTCACGCAAAGATGCTTCTTCTGTGAGTTTCATAATCTGTTAAGAAGATGTGAACCCCCGAGGGTGCAAAGTGAAACAGTTCAGAGATTGGCAAAGGGGTAACTTGAAGACGTACGAAGAGCAGAGTGCGGCCCATAGTAGAAAATTATGAACATCTGTAGAAGTAGGAATATTTGAAGAGGCTGTAAATTCCTCACATTTTCTGCCTTCCTGCCATAGTGGTGTCCTCTACCATCACAGCTCATATTACCCAAGAACTTCTGAGTGACATCGGAGGATCTCCATAACTCTTTGACTTTGCCAGTGGCCTCTCATGCAATGAAAGGAGATGCTCTTTGCTGAGATCTGAGGTGCTCCAGAGTTGCCATCAGCCTGTCATGTTCGGGGACAGGCTTGTAGAGTAGCTAAGTAGGTTTATCTCCGAAGGAGCAAAGACCGAACCGGCTAGTTGCAACGTGGCAGCAGGAGAAGCCACAGCAAGACTCTGGAAACAGTAATTGGGTGCGTGTGTTTAGTCTGGAAAAGTAAAACTAATTGCTCCTGAATGAGGAGCAAGGAAGTGGTTTGCACACTTTCTGCAGGTAGCACAGCTAAGGAGATTCAAAAAGCTGGTTTTGCAATTGGATAAGCAGATGCAGAACTGCCATGAAACTTTAAGCATGTCCAAGGGCAACAGTTATTGCGAAAAAGTATAATTTTATCATTAGGTCTAAATCTGTCCCTAGAACAAGCAATGGTTAGTAGCTCGAGTCTATAGCTGGCAAAATGTAAATTAACAATATCAGCTCCTGTAGCTAATGGCAGT